CCCAAAGCTCTGGTAGCTTTGGTACCTTTGCCAAATCCTCTATTTTAATTCATCACCACCACCCACTCTCTCCAAAGTAGACCACATTCAGGCCACTCTTCCTCTTCTGTACCTGCTCCCAGAGCCCCTTTCATCTACCAGCACAATCACCTGGCCCTGTGGCCCAACACCCACAGGAAGCCCAGTGATGGGTCCCTGAGGCTCCTCCCCCCCACCCCACTCCACTCCCGCAATTCCCCACTAAAGAGCTGCTTCTAAAGAACAGCATGGCCTCAGGTAGCCACAGGGCCTGAGGTCAGGGATCAAGCTTCAGATCCTCTGCCTCAGGGTGATGGAGCCTGCACTCCCAAATCCGCTCTCACCAAGACAGGCCTCCCTGCCCTGTGGGCAAGTGCGGGGCCTTGGCACCCCTCAAAGCTCCTCCCACCTATCTCCCTTGGAGTTGCTCGCCTGAACCCTGTTCCCCAATGGGGGGACCAGCTGCAGTCTCTGGGGGAGCTTTCTAGCCACTTCCAACCAGTCTGAACCCAGGTGTCACCACTCAAAGCCTTCGCTCCCCTTGACACTCCTGGTGACTTAAATCTCAGGCCCCCAGATGGCCGGAGGGGCTGGGCAACATGCAGACCTCCGGCTCTGGCAGCCATAGGATGGCCACCTGCCACCACCTGTTTTGCCAAACTTGGGTTCAGCTTCGCAAACAGATTCATCAAACAATGTCTTCACAGGCATTCTGTTAGTTATTTATTCGGGGTCCTGACCCCCCAGCTTGGTGCCCTGGGTGTCACTCCTCCTGCCACGCCCCCTCAGCTTAGCTCAGGGGCCAGCAGGGGATGGAAGACCTGATGAACTGCAACAGCCCTTCCTGCTCCAGAGCCTTCTATGTGGTTATTTATTAAACAGACCCACCCAGCCTTCCCCCACCCCCCAGACTCACCAAAACAGGGAGCTACCCCAAGGGGCAGGACTTGGGCTGACATTTCAGGTATGGGGTCCTCCAGCACCAGAGCTGGGTGGGGGGATCTGACAGGGGTCCCAAAGGACCCAGCCCACTCCCAAAGAAAGAGCCTCGAGGCCCCCAACTGACCAGTGATGCCAGTGAGGGGAGCTGGCCCAGGCTGGTGAGAAGGGTGTTCCTGGAGGGAAAAGGCATCTCCAGGGCGCCCTCTCCTGGACACCCTCCTTGGCCCAGGTCCCTGCAGAGCACCAGTGTTGTCATGGGGCAGGGAAGGCCAGGATGTTGGGTCTTGGAGAGGGGGCTGGGACCCTCCGTGGGAAGGCGGCTTCCTGCCGTGGCCCGCTGAGGACTTCCTCCCTGGTGGGGACAATGCCGGGAAGGGGATCCGAGGGCAGTCTGCAGGAAGCCCAGGCCAAGGGTTGGGGGGAGGAGGGATTGAGCAAGGACCTCAGCCCAAAACCAGGCGGCTCCCATGGACTGAGTCTTCCAGGGACAACACCACATGTCCCAGATGCAGGTGTGAAACTGGTTCAGCCCACAGCTACTGTTGCCCTCAGGCTTCCAGGGGTCTCCCCCTCACCCCTCCCTGGGGTCCACCCAGACTCCTGCCCCATCCCTTTCTTCTCTCACCCCTCCCCCCCATCGTCTGTCTCTTCCTCCACTCCCTTCTTTTCCCTTTCCCCAGGCTTCACCTCTGCCCAGAACCTTCTTCATCTCTTCAGCCCACCTGTCCTCAGGGTGGTGGCACCGGCCACCCCACCCACCCCAGGTCACGGGGTTCTCAGTGCTCTCGTACAGCGATGTGAACCTGAATGTGAAGATGACCCACCACTTACACAGACAGAGCGCAGATCTGGGAGCTTGGGGTGGGCAACAGTGGGGGGGGGCAGGGCCCAGAGAGCCGGTCACGCCCTGCAAGGGGCCGCAACTGCCAGGGCAGCAGGAAGTAGGGTCAGAGCCGGGGAAGAGACCCATTCACCAGGCCAGCGGGTTAAGGGCCCAGCTTCCCGAGAAGGGCCCACACCTCTGGGCTGGGGAGGACCGACACTGGAGTCCATCTTCCTGTGTGGCCATTCCCAGCACCAGGGCAGGAGGGGGGTGGGGACCAAGGGAGATGGACACTGAGTTCACACATAGGGACCCTGCCTCTTGAGGCCTCAGTCCCTCAGCCTCCGTGTTTCCTTCTGTTCCCAGCCCGTCAGAGCCTCAGTTTCACCCCCTGACAAGAGGCCGGGGACACACAGACAGGCAGAGTGGTGGTGCTGAGACATCCCGTCTCCGGGCTGCCCCAGGGACACAGGCACGGGCCACACCTTGAGTTTGGATTCCTCCGTTCCTCCTGTGTGTCTGCTCTGATGGGTCTGGGGTCAGGGGGGCCGCTGCGACAAGATCCCCCGCCTTCAGTACTGGGAGTTCAGGGCTCTGGGGAAAGCACCGCTGGATGGAGTGAGACGGAGGAGAGGGCTGTGGGGAGGTGGCCGGGGAGGACTCGGAGGCGGCAGCATTCGGGCAGAGACGGAGCAGGGCGAGGGCACAGCCGTGCCAAGGCCTGGTCCCCAAGGGCTCTAGCGGGCA